TCGGGCCCGGTTCGGTTCGGTTCGTGCCCGGTTCGGTTCGGTTCGTGTCCGGTTTAGTTCGATTCGCACCCGGTTCACCTCTCGCGGTCCCGTTTAAGCCTCCGGCAGCCCATATTTCTGTCCCGATGAATCACACACCTCCGGCAGGGTCCCGTGGCAGCATGGACTTGTCCTATTCCAAGATGAGGATGACGGATCGTCTGGGTCCTTTACACGAGGATCGAGGAAAAGTTCTGATCAAAGAACGCTTGGGTCCAGTGACTGAACCCCGAGCAACCACTCAAGCTGGGGGTCGCACACGTCCTCGTAACAAGTTAAGGCCTTCCTTTAATGGGAAAACCCCTGCAATTGACCCCCTCAGACGGCAAATTAAAGTTCAAGAGCCCGTCAAGAGTTCGCGCTCCCAAAAGCACGGCTCCAAACGTGTGACTCTTGAGAACGCCATCAAAGCGACAAATTTTCAGAAGGAAACGTGTTGGTCAGACGATAACGTTATACCTAAAAAGTCGTGCCAACACGCGATAGGTTACTCTGGTCATATGACCGACGAGTTGTACTATCAGGCTGGGGGTATGAATAAATCTCGTAAGAGAAATACACGGGAAATGGATTCTCTTTGCCCATGTACCAAACTCATTAAGTCGGTATTATCAGAGTGTAACTGCTCCAAAACCGCCTCGCAAAGGATCTCGGTGTTTGAGAGGCTTTCTGCAGAAACGTTAGAACACAAATCAAGACGTTTCCGTAAAGGAAAATCGATTGTTCAAGAACGTGAATTCTCAGAAGTCACGATTAACATAACGGACAAAGGAAAGTCCATGCGACGCTTCAACCCCGAACCTTTTCCACAAATATCTCAGCGACTGACTCGGCTACAAACCGGGGCTATCAGGCCTAGGGATTATAAGAGAATTCAGAGAGGACAGTCCTCAGATGATGAAACATCAGACGCTAACTTTGCGATCGCTTCAGATGCCACTGTGTCCAGTACGGGACAGACCCGAGAGTCATTCACGATCACTACTGAACAGATGGCTCAACTTCTTCAAGAAGCTTTGGCAAAGCAGAAAGAGGACTTTAAAATCGAAATGGAGATGGCTGTGCAACGGGTTAAAGATTTACATGCCCAATAACTCCAACAGTTGTCAAATCAACGCGGTGAATCTAGTCATCGTCAGACTACCAATCAAGTAGATAGCGACTCAAAAGTGGAGGAAAATATCAATGCTGATGACCCTCCCGTTGACCAGAACGCTGGGGGTGGTCCTACTAAAAACAACGACACTGGGGGTGGCCCCGTTATTCCTCTTAAGAATCGTCCTAGGCCCAATACGAGCGAGGATGAGAAAATGAAAGACTTGGAAAGCAAAATCAATGCTTTGATGTCTGCTCAAGAGGTAAAAAAGACTGGCATTCCGTGTCTGATACGAGTTGCCGTGCGAGCACCTTTGATCGCGAAATTATCAAAGGTGGGTTAAGGAGAAATAATAAGAATACAAGAATAACTCAGATTTTGGGCGAAGGAAAATACATCCTCTAGATTATGAGTATGCAATTTACAATCTCTCACAATCTCACTCTAGAATTGAAGAACAAGCTCTCCAAATCTCAATTATAAGTTAATCTCTCTTGATTTAACTCTCTGATTGTTTAGAAACCCTAAAACAATCCCTTATATAGGTATACAAACGTGGATGGCAATTTGGTAAATAACCAGACCCAAAACCAACAGGAATTCGTGTGAACAGAATCCCATACGAACCAGGAAACCCTCGATGAGTCGACTCATGACTGAGATGAGTCGACTCGACAGAAACTGGAGAAATCTCAATAACCAGCGATGAGTCGACTCATGACTGTCATGAGTCGACTCATGAGTCGACTCAACCTGATGAGTCGACTCATAACAGTCATGAGTCGACTCACAGGCTGAAAACTGGGTACTTCGATTCTTCTGCTCGTCGTCTTGTTCCACGCTTCCTCCTGTGTTCCCTTATACTGTTTGACACCCCCTATTCTCATGCTAGTATGAGAATCATCTATCCTCAAGCTCCCATGAGGATCGCTAAGTTCCGAAGAGAAGATACACATGTATCATGTGTCCCCTCTTTAAGAACTTGAAGTCCCGTTCAAGTTAGAACTTCAGCTGAGGAAACTCGCGAGCCCCTCCTTCCTTATTGAACCACTTAGCCTTGCTAGGAACTTGACCTTGACGTCCGATGAGAAACGACTCCTTCATTCCCCTTCTTGTCGTGGTCGTCTTTCGCTCCAAAATGCAGTCTTCCTTCAGCGGCTCCTCTCTATCAAACCATAAGTCATCAACATGCGGTAAGATCACATTGTCATCACCTTCATCATCCAGTAATGGAGGCTCAAACAACTTCAAGTACTCAGCATTGATCACCGAATACATG